GCAACTCACAACTGGCAACCCACTGAAGCTAGGCAGGTGTGAGCCTGGTCAGTACCTGGATGGGAGACCTCCTGGGAAAAACTAAGGTTGTTGCTGGAAGAGGTGTTAGTGGGGCCAGCAGGGGGAGCTCACCCTGCGGTCCATGTGGGTCCTAATGCCCCAGTATAGTGATGGGTACACAAACACATTATGGCATCTGTTTTGAATGAATTTGGCTTATTTTATTATTTTGTCACTAAGGAGATGCCAATCAAAGAACACTGGCTATTTATATATATATACAGTAAAATTAGCTTCCAAATATAATATCTGGGGTTGTTTTTAGCTTGTTTGTACAGAGCAGTCTATAGAAATTATCTTTTTTGTATTTGTGTATTGTTTTATTCTGATGCTGTTTTGTTAACTATCAAGGGTTTCAGATCGGTCTTCATGAAAAGTCTTTTTGTATTTGTGACTGCTCTACTTTTGTTTTTTTTTTCTAATAAGTATGTATTAAATATACTAAACAATAACAGTCCTCACTTCAAAGGGAATTGACAGAAATTAAGCAGATGACGAAAGAGGTACTGGATTTTGTTGTAAGTCTTAACAAATGAATGACCAGATGTGACCTACATCAATAAGACAACAAAAATAAATCAGTTGTCCTTTGAAGTTAAGCTTAGATTAGAAGTACAAAGTTCTATTTGGGCAGTTCTTAATGCCCAGAGGCTGCTTTGGTTTCCATTTAACCCATTTGTCCATTTTCTAACCACCTCTTCCAATTCATGGTCACAGGGGAGCCAGAACCTACTGTATCACAACAAAGAACTGGCACAAGGCAGGACGTCTGTTCATTGCAGGACAGACACAATAAGGAACTGGAGGGAACCTATGCAAACACAGGGGGAACATACTATACTGTACAAATTCCACACAGATACCATCCTAGGTCTGAAACTGAAACTTGGGCTCCATGCTGCAAGGTAGCAATATTAACCACTGGATTTGTTATGTTCTCCTTGTGTTCACGTGGGTTTCCTCTGGGTGCTCCGGTTCCTCCCACATTCCAAAGAGATACTAATAGAGGTTAATTGGCCCTGCTGTGAATGTGTACAGATCTGTGTTTGTGTCTGTGTGTGTCTGCCCTGTAATGGACTGGTGTCCTGTCCAGGGTGTCCAGGGTGTACCCTGCCTTGCACCCATTGCTTGTCAAGATAGACTCTGGCACCCTTGTGACCCTGAAATGGAAGAAGCAGTTAGAAATTGGATGAATGGATAGTGTTATATCAAAGAGTTCCATTTTATAGTGCCCTTCTTGTGTAGAAAGGAAGACATGTTATTTTTCTCTATAAGGAGACTCTCCCCCCACCTCTGTTTACAAGGTGACTTTGGAGCCCGAAGGGTATTGTAACTTTAGGAGATTTAAGCAGGATAATTTCCTCTTGTACATTTTATTGTGGATAAATCTGATGCTAAGGAGGCTCCTGCCAACAAGATGATTAGTTTGCTTTTCAGCAGATTACTTGTACCTTTCTATAGAATCCTAAATATTTTATTGGACGTCAAATTAAATCCAGGAATACAGTACTACAGTATGCCAGTTTAAGTAATTGTTTCTTTTTTCACAAATTCAGAGAATAAAACATCAAACATTAAAATAAAACACACCCAAAGAAGGTTCCAAAGCCAAACCATTGTGTTTCTTTTCTTCTATTTTCAGCATCTAATAAACCTTTACTTGTTCTTTTGAAAACATTAAACCTTTGCAAACATTAAAAGTAAGATTATGTAAGGAAAACTGAAATAGAATTTATTCATAGATTTATGTCAAACATAAATATATTTTAGATATGTCAGAGTCATTCTTTTGCATCATCTCACAAAATGACAAATAAAAACGACTAACTACTCATCTATGGGATATTACTGTATGTACCCTTTCAGTAGATGAGACAAAAGTGCAAAAGTTAGCTTCTGAATCTTTGTTAAGCTCCTTCAGACTCTGGTTAGGAGGATATGAGCATGCACAACAAGAAAAAAGGCTGAATAGAATTTGCTCAAGGGTGTTTATGATTGGTCATCTGAGCTATCGGACATCATCTGAAACTGTTAGAGATCATATCCATCTTCAGCAACAAGGCAATAATTGAGTATTGTGGAAATAACCCTGAAGTACAATTACAAATAAGATTAAACTTGAGTCATATGGGGCCACTGGGCAATCCTTTGATTTACTCAGGTACTGTACATGTAACCCAGTTTGTACTGTAAAAAAACCTTAAGACAAATGTTAAAGGGTGAATCAGAAATGTTTAAAGTTTAATATTTGTATTAATACACCATTTTCTATCCATATGAGAGATGTTTCATATTTATGTTTTTTATTGAAATTACTAGGTCTTGAGACACAGATTTTATTCTTATTCTTATTCTTAGTAAAGTTAATGTGTATTATACTGTAGGTAAGATTATGTTACAAAATGTGCAATGAAATGTGTTCAGACATTTATGTTAAACAAATCAAACCAATGTCTTATTTAAGATTTTCTTTCAAGAAAAAGCTTATATTTCCACTGTTCTTCTTTCAGTGAAACATTAAAAGAGGGAAACATAAGACTTTAATAAAGCTCATACAACCGATTGATCAGTTTTGATCAGTGGAGTTTCTGCTTCTGCTTATTGACCATTACACCTTTGATTTCAGAGGTTTCTAGAGGAAGGGGATGCAAGCCCATATACAACATAGCTGATCTTTTGAACTGTAGAAGAAAACCACTACCTATGGGTCTAACCACAAGTAATAGAGGGTATAAAATTGGTGTTTATGTAAGAACCAAAATTAAAATTAAATTGACTCAGAGAAGAACAAGACACTATTAGACACCATCAAAAACACAGACACTACCAAAAATACATGCTGCTACCAGACACACACATATCAAGGAGGCAGAAATAATCATGGCATCTATTTGTAATAATGTGCTGCGCATGACTCATTAAGGTGAGGAGTCTGTGACTGCTGGAGGCTCAGTAAGATATACCTGCCCTCCAGCAAACCCAAGCTGGTGGTTGTAGTGAATGGCATCGAGGCAGATTCACTGTAGGATTAGCCCCACTCATACAGCTAGAACAAATCACTCTTTCCCAGGAGTGCACAGAAAGCTTTTGGGATTTTTTAAATTTTAGAAGCAAACAATATTTAACATTTATTCATATTTATTTTAATATCATTTTAAATATGTAATATTTTCAAGGACATACTTTGCTGCTACGAACATTCAAGGTATAATTCACACAAACTTCTTGGTGCTTCTAGCTTCCCTTAATGAATCTTGTTTATAGTTCTTCCTTTCCAGAATATTATCCTCACTGTTTTGACTTTAATTATCTTTTCCAATAACAACACATTAATATAATGCAGATCAAATCTTCCATAAAAGTGTTGGATCCCATTGCAAAGAGGTTTCTGAAACATGTTCTTAGTCACTTGTATAAAGATGTTTTTGTAAACGTAAATAGTGTAATGGAAACTGAATTGTTCTGTTCTGTTCTATTATTATACCGTGGTAACCTCCCTCAATAAAAAAAAAAACTAACTTAAAAGTGTTTGGTTTTGGTAACAAACACATTAAAAATAGAAAATAATGTTTTATTCTAATGTTTCCTTGAGAATAATGTTTTCAAAATCTAAACAGATTATTGGATCCAAACAATATTTTTTAAAAGTTTCAATTTCCTATGATCACAGCTCAGAAACTGTTCCAGAAAGAGTAACAAATAATTTATTTAAGAGTACTTGTTGAAAATCAACCTTGGTGGCTATACTACTAATCTGAAATCCAAAGTGAGGAATCTTGCTGTCATATTTGTCTCTGTTTTAAGTTTTAAAAAGATTAACAAGATTAAAAAGTTATTTCCTCTTTATGATAAATGTATTTTTTATCATTAATTTTGTTTTATCTAATATTGAGATACTAGTTATTGCTTTTTTGTGCAGACTGGTCTAATGTAACCTGGATGCCACACCTTATTATAAATACAATTTGTAAACATTTTGGCTGCAAGGGTCCTTACAAAAAAGAACACATACTGTTTGTCTCTTGTGCTGACAGCTCTGGACTGGCATAAAGTGAGCTATAGAACTGATTTGAAATATTCTTGCATTTAAAACCTGAAATATAATTTCACCAGAGTGCATTTCACAGTTCTTTTCTTCCTATCAAACTTATGCATTGTGCATTGGAGTCAATTGATAGTGGCTCTTTATGTTCTGAGGGGGAAGCTTAGAAGGATAGGGAATATATCTTTTTGTTTTTGAGCTTTGTAATTGTAGAATTCTCTACCTGATCATTGGAGGGTTTAAACAATTTTTGGCAATGTTTAAATCAATTTTTCAACTCAGCCCTTTTTCATAGCTTAGCTTTTTTATTTTATATTGCTATTTTATTTTTGTTTGAACTTTTAACTTTTTATGCATTGTTTAAAGCATTTTTAAGTGAATTTGTTGTTTTTTATATTTCTGTTATTTCTTTTTTTCTTTTTTTTCATTTTCATTTCATTTATTTTTTACTTTAGATGACTTGCTCTGGCATTTAAAAGGTGCTATATAAAATATTTGTTTCGTAGATTTTCCACATCTCAAAAACTGTGTACTATTTACTGGAGGCCACATGGAAGTGCATTTAAAACCGAGCACAGGAGGCACCTATTCGAAAGGTTGTAGGAGTAGAGAACAAGTTACTCTGCTATGTGCCCTGGATGAGATCCATGGTTCAGTTGGCTACTAACACCAAAAAGACTAGAAGGGCCGAATCTCCTCTTCTCGTTTGTAACATTTCTTATGTTCATATGTGCTTGTGGTAGACTGTCGACTTCATTTATATATTTATTTTTTTCTATATGTCCTTCCTTTCTGTAACGGGCAAGGACTGCAGATTGTGTGACCCGGTTTCCTGATGCAGTAAATTATTGACTGAATGGGGGCGCTCGCGTTCATACTTAAAAAAAAAAACATACTGTAGAAACTCAAGTAACAGCCAAGGACTGCGTGGTTGAGAAGGAAGACGAAGAGACACACATTGTTTCACGGATTAAGGTATGTCTAAGTTATTCTGTCAAATGCATTTAAAGTTGTTCTTTCAATATGCTGCTTACAGATATGTATTTTTCATGCACTTGATAAGGTGCAAGGCGAAAACAAATATGAATGAAAAGGAATACTGCTTCTCAGATTTCCTTTCGTATTTTTCTTGAGTGTGATCTCTCATCAGATAAAATTGAAGTTGGTTTGTAAATGACAATGGCATCCTTATGAAACCAGAGCAAAAATGATTCCTGCGAAAAACGAGCGTGATTTAACTGCAGTGCACACGTGTGAGGAATCGTCATTTTTGAAAGGTTTAAAATAAACTCTTTAGACTTGACATTTCCAAAAATAACGACGTTTACTTGTTGGTAATGGTAGCACCCGGAGCCAATTATTATATACAAATACAGTATTATATTTTTCAACCTCTACAATCATTACTTTCCACAGATAAATCCCTAATTCATTTCATTTTTCTTACGTTTAGATAAGCCATATTAAAATGATGTTTTTGCAAAAAAAGACTGTACCTTGACACAAATGCGTGAAAAGTATTCGATGTGCGTGTGTGCAGCGTAAGGCAAAGCTTAGCAAGTCAAGAATGGAAGACTTCAGTTACAACACCGACATAAAATGCATCCAAGTACATTTGTTTGTTGCACATATCTTCAAAAAGACGTCTGAGCTACACGAGGCAAGCGGATAACCAGTGAAGAAGTGCAGCTCTGTCCAACGTGCTGAAACAACGTTTCTCGATAACCGAATTTTCTCAAGTGAGCGAGAGAACTATGCGATCTTTAATAAAATATGGAAACTTCCCGAGATACACTCGGTGAAATAACCAGAATGGTGATATAAATAATATATTTACACAACCTGACCTGTATTTTTGTGTTCAATATCTATTTTTTTTTTCCTTTACCCATTTAATATTTTTTCTTCTTGGAAACGAACTATATTCCCTGATCTATCGTGAATTTGATTAGCCCAAAGCTGCATAATATTATTGCATACAGTATATAATCGTATTTCATTCATCTGTGCTTGTTTTTCATGATAGGGTATTTTTTTTATTTAGCGTTGGCCCGTTTTTGTTTAAAATTTCTGGATTTGGCACCGTCAAAACAAGCAGAATATATATTATCAATTGCTTTCAAGTACTTTTGGCAATGAAAACAAAGGTGTGGGGCGTTTGTTCAGCACTGCACAGCTTATTAGCGGTTAGAATGGACTGCATTCATTCTGTTGTGCAAAACATGTGCCTTTAGAGTATACTTTTAGAAGGCACAAATCCTTTAGGACCGTGGACAGGGTGCTGGCATTTTGTTTTAAAAAAATCACTTTAGCAATTTAAAAATAGTAATATAAATTTTAAATGTATTGCACACATTATTATATTAACATTAATATTACCATTGCTGTGATTAAACTTGAATAAATACATTTTGTTTTCCAGGTATTCTCCCTTTCTGGGTCAATTTAAGAAACAATGTTTGTTCCCTTTGGCTCCGTCATAAAACTTGGATACACTGAAAAACAGTCAAGAATCATTTTCATCTGCAAGAAACGGATATGATTTTACCGTTGGAACTGTTGGCGTGATTGGATCATGACACACTTCGAAATGAATTTGATCGGGTTTTTGTTTTTCCCGACGATATTATTTGAAACATTTGTCCTTTCTAATACTGTATATGAAAGATCACTGGCGACGATATCTTCCTCTCGCTCTGTTGCCAGAATGGACGGGGATATAGTTATTGGGGCTCTTTTTTCTGTCCATCACCAACCCCCGGCTGAAAATGTCCCAGAGAGAAAATGTGGAGAAGTGAGGGAACAGTACGGCATTCAAAGGGTGGAGGCGATGTTTCACACCTTGGACAGAATCAACTCAGACCCTACTCTTTTACCAAATATTACTCTGGGCTGCGAAATCAGGGACTCGTGCTGGCACTCATCTGTGGCTCTGGAACAAAGTATCGAATTCATAAGGGATTCGCTGATTTCAATAAGGGATGACAAAGACGGATCCAGATGGTGCATTGATGGGATACCTTCTAATCTTCCCCCAAGAACGAAGAAACCAATCGCTGGTGTTATTGGACCGGGCTCAAGTTCGGTGGCTATACAAGTGCAAAATTTGTTGCAGCTATTCAACATCCCCCAGATAGCATACTCTGCTACCAGTATTGACCTAAGTGACAAAACGCTCTTCAAGTATTTTCTACGAGTGGTGCCGTCCGATATTCTTCAAGCTAGAGCACTGTTGGACATAGTCAAACGCTACAACTGGACATATGTGTCGGCTGTTCACACAGAAGGTAAGGGTTAATTATTTACACGGCTATGATTAGTGTGGCAAAAAGACAGCCTAGGGACTAGTATTATCTGCAGCAGTCGGCCAAACGCCGTTCTTCCACTAAGTGGTGCTATTTCAATGCTGTGTCCTTTTTTATACTTTGCCGTTGAAAGGTCACTGTGGTAGAAAACAGTCTTTCAAAAAAGAATTGCACTTTCAGCTCCATGGACTCTGGGGGGATTCTGTAAATTATACCAAGACCAGTAGGTGTTTTGGGTTCTCTGCTCCCAGATTAGCAGTCTGAAAAGCAACCTTCCATATGTCTTTGTCCTGATTCAGTCTACATCCTGACAAATGGTCATGTACATGTACATCAAACAAGAACGCTTACACTCCATTATATTTTGTTTCTTTTAATACTAAATACGAATTAGAACTTTGTAAAGGTTTTTTTTAACTCAGTAAATTATTAGTAAATCGAATAATTATATTTTTCTACATGTAAAACTGACAAATCACAAAACTGTTTAATACTTTTTTTTTCCCTCAGAAATGACCTGTTATATTACTTTAAAAGCTCTTTGTGTACAGATGCTGTTTTCTTTATTTAAAAAAAATATTTAAACCCTGAATTCTCAGTGTTTGAGTGGAGTGGGTGGGTGCAGGTTAAAAATGGGTTGTGTTGCTTGCATACATCTCGTAACAACAATTTCTAAAATTAATAGTAATATAGATTCGGGGTATAAATGGGTATAGATTCAGGACACAGTTCTGTCTCCTGTAGCACTGTGACTGAATGGATGAAAAGATCATTAATACTCACATTCATAATAAATTGATGGTCTTATGAAAATGAACATTTTCTAACCTTCAGAAAATAAATTGTCAATGGAAATGTTTTGCTGAGAATGTTTTTCATTGCAATAACACGTCTTGTTATGATTACACTACTGTATAAGTGTATGCATGTCTTTTAATCCAATGTAGTCATACTCATCTATACATAGAATATAGATGTTGGCCACAACCATTTTTATTGTTTTCCCTTCAAGTTTATCCTATTTATGTTTGTGCAGATTGTATATAGTAGTTGAAAGTCTTATAAAACATTGAAGCAATGGTATATTTATATTTAAGTTTTATGTTAATCCTTCAACTGATTTTGTTGTTAAATTATTAAGCTTTCCAAAGCATTATATTATTAAGTATTATGTAAGTATTATAATTATATAATCAAAATCTATTAGAAAGTTTGGGACGTAATTGTAGTTCAACATGTACTTTCATGTTGTACATATACAACGTTGTTTTTTTTGAAGCATTGAATTTCTGTTTTAACTTCTATACTTTCATCTATGTACTTACATGTAGAAGGATAAATATATTTAATAACGAAAAAATATAGAAAATAATACCTAAAATAGATATTTCTAGACTAGGAAGAACTACATCTTACAAATAAATGAATGAAAAAGATAAGGATGTTTTTATGCTTTATACAAGATTTAAATGATTAAAATTCCAGATCAAAGTCCTTCTTAAACTGTAAAAACTAATGTATTCATGAATAAACATATGGGGTTGTAACTTTCACAGCATTGGATTTGGACAATACCTAATTCATATTCATACCTATAATTCATTAATAATTCATTGCAACTGCTGGCTCTGACCACACATGGTAACTTAGTTGGGTATTTCTTCTTAGGTGATACAAGCAGTTACCTCCAGTGTCACAATGGTCATTTTTCTCCTTATTCAGTGATCATAAATTATGAGTATAAATATTAATTAGTTCTCTTGCTTTATCACAATCCTTAAAATATGAAACCGTCTTCAGGCTTAGACAAGCAGACACATACAAAAGGCCAGTATATCATTTAATACAACTGATAGTTGTTTTCTGGTTTGAGTACTGAAGCCCAGATTTATCCTAGATTTACTGTATGTTTGCAAAACTAACTCCCCAGAACCAGTTTGCCTTCTTGAATCTACGTGTATTGGGTTGTATTGTATTTTCCTTTTCAGATGACTCCACTATTTTCACTGTATCCCACTGTATTTCCAGTTTTAATTTAGGAAGTACTGAGAAATCGGGAAACACACAGCAATGACAGAATCTGTGAGAATGAAAAGCTTGTGTGGTACTGAAGCCGATTCCTAGCAGGTGGTAGTGAATGATAAACAGACATGGCAACTTCATGCAGAAAAGAGCCAGGCTTATGTTTCCTTGCATTTAGAGTGCTGAATGTGGAAGCACAAGGCTGGTGATACACATCCAATCCCTGCTTGTCACATGCCTATGTTTTTATGCCTCATATAAAATGAGCTCTCAGGAGTCCTCTTTAAGCCTAGCAGAAGAGGGATTCAGTGTGACATTACAAAGGATGTCTTGTGGCTGTAGGACTGTAGATTTTGCAGATGACTAATCCATCTTGATTTAAAAAAGAGTAATAAATTGACGAACATTCCATTAGAGATCACTGTTTTAAAATGCCATTCCGCCTTCCCCCATCCATCACTGCCACAGCAAACCTGTGGTTGCTTAGCTGTTCTTGTTTGATTCATGTTGCAGAAAGTGCTCCAGGTGACTGTTAACATGAGATCAAAGCCCTAGGGGGTTAGGAATCCCCCTGAGATAAGCTGTTGTTTAAATATTCTATCTTCCATTATCATACATTAAGTGTAGTGCACAGTAATGATCAAACTATTCATGATATTTTGTCATAATTTTAAAAATGAGCCTGATATAACAAGCCTTCAGCATTTGACAATGATAGTGACTCTGCACCACGAAATACTGTAGTTTCAAATGTAATGCTTATGTGATGTTTCAAATGTATTGTAACAATAATAACTTTTATTTATAAAACACCTTTCCAAACCCAAGTATGCTGTATATAATGGTAAAGAATACAATAGAAAGTAAATATATATAAAAAACTATAAGAATGAACAGAATAAAAAACTAGGCCCCAGTAAAAGAAGTGTTTTAAGCTTAGATTTAAAAACAATCAAAGAATTTGTCTCACGGAGAGACACCAGTAGTTAATTCCGTAATAGTGATAGAAAACACGCAGTCACCAACAGTCTTGAGATTTAGTCCTCGGTGCAATGAGCAAAGGACCTCAGCTGATGGGAGCCTATGGGAAGGAGTGTAAACATGGAGGAGATCCGAAATGTACAGGATCTGATCTTATATTGATTAGGTGCCTTTATAGGCAACCAATGAAGAGATGTGAGAGAAGGAGTAATGTGTTCCCAGGGTCTAGTGTGAGTAAATAGCCTAGCTGCAGAGTTTTGGACATACTGTATTGCAACTTACTAAGTAGAGTGTTAGGGAGCCCAAAGAGCAAACAGTTGCAGAAATCAAGATAAAAAGAGGTCTTAATCAATTTTGTTTCACATGGGGCTTAAAAGACAGGAGAAGATCAAGTATAACCCCCAAATTCCAGGGGTGGCTTCTCCATGCTGACCACCTGAATAGGGAAGCCACCCACCATTATTGTTAAACTCTCCAGGTTTTCCAGCTGACATTATCCTGATATTTGTGTAGAACTACAGCACAATTCAATTATACCCCCAGCTTCTCAAGTGTTTTCTGAAGTCTGTGATTACATTTGTCATTACTGAACAACAAATTCTTCTAACACATGTGGCAGAGATGTTTCATATGTTCAATGGAATATTATGAAATAACATCAATGTAATATTTTATTATTTAAATATGAGGTACAAATATCATAGATGGGGAACCTTATCTTGTAGTATTTAATTATACAGTAATTTTATAATAATTGCTTACACTTATATAGCACTTTTCTGGACACTCCACTCAAAGCGCTTTACAGGTAATGGGGACTCCCCTCCACCACCACCAATGGATCCACCTGGATGATGCGACGGCAGCCATAGTGTGCCAGAACGCTCACCACACATCAGGTATCAGTGGGGAGGAGAGCAGAGTAATGAAGCCAATTCATAGATGGGGATTATTAGGAGGCCATGATTGGTAAGGGCCACCCCTACTCTTTTTGAGAAACACCCTGGGATTTTTAATGACCACAGCGAGTCAGGACCTCGGTTTTACATCTCATCCGAAGGACAGTGCCTGTTTACAGTATAGTGTCCCCGTCACTATACTGGCGCATTAGGACCCACATGGACCAGAGGGTCCCACTAACACCTCTTCCAGCAGCAACCTTAGTTTTCCCCAGGAGGTCTCCCATCCAGGTACTGACCAGGCTCACATCTGCTTAGCTTCAGTGGGTTGCCAGTTGTGACTTGAGGGTGATATGGCTGCTGGCCATATTTGATTCAAGTTTGGAATAGGGCTTTATTTGCGATTAAATATACTGTATTCAGTTATAATTTACTATATTTTCTAATGTGATTCTCTGATTAATAGCTTTTCAGCAATAATGTTTATAATACAGCATCCAATAAATTATGTAAAACAGATGATGGGTCACCATTTCATTTAGCAAATAAGAACAGTAAGAAACAAGTGGAGGCCATTCAGCTAATTGATCTGAGGTTCCCATATAGCCATTTCTTGAAACAAGCCAGAGTATCAACTTCAGCAGTGTGTCTGAGTAGCTTGTTCTGTACTCTTACTTTACTTTTGAGTAAAGTGCTTACTATTCCTGGTTTTAATGAAAATGCTTCCACGAGAACATTTTCCATGAAATGAAATTGTTATGAAGATAAGACTTGAATTAAGGAGGCAAATACAATTAATCAAATCAAATTTGGCAATCAAATTAGTTTACTGATTATTTATGTATCGTGTCTTTAATTACATTTTATACATTTTTTTATATTGAATGTCATGATTGATTCTTGCTCTGAAAACTAAAGTATCAAATCCTTTTGAAAAATGATTTGCCTACCTAAATGGGTCTAAATTAAAATAATTCAATGCATGTAATTATAAAATGAATAGGCCTACAATCCTGTTCTTTACATCTTTGAATTTTCTGAATTATTTATGAAAGCACTGAATACTGAGGCAAGAGGCATAATAGAGTTTAGATAATCAACCCTCAGAATTGTTGTGTTTGCAGTCAATAAATAAGTGAAACAGCTATAATGAACAGCTATCACAAACTTTATTATTAAACCACAAAAATAACAAACGGTAGAGGTGAATAAGTATCTCTAATAATTGCCCTCATACACAGCCAATTTATAAAGAGATTACTTTTTATTCAGTCAATGTGGGCAGATGTGCAAAAGAAATAACAAATAGCCAACCTCCACAGTTTCCTCTATCTGACTACCCCTTCACAACAAATCTGAAGATACACAAAATAATCTTCATGTACTGTATATCATAGGTAGCAAGCTTTTTTTGTGTTTGTGTCCCTGAACCTATATTTCACCAATCACAATCCAAGGTCAGTATTCAGTTAGAACTATATACAGTTTGTCAGTTCAAGACGACAGTCAGAATTAGTCTGTTTACAGCGGTTCATGGTTGGTTCACATTCTTACAGTATGCTGTCAAAAAGAAAAATATAGAATTGTTAACTGAGAATCCTTATATACTCTGTACAGTATACTAGACTGTTGTACATAATATTTACAAAACTAAATAGAAGAATAAGAAAATACATAGGTCAAATTTTATATAAATTCTGTGTATACTACTCATCTATTTTATTTATCATACTGCCACCATGGACTTGGTATGGTGTCATGCTGAACTCAGTACAGTATGTATGCCGATCATGTGATGAGATTATTGAGTCCTGGAGATTTACAAACCATAAATGTGTAACTGTACTTTTGGATTAGTGGAGTCTTGTCAGAGAGGTGCTATCGTATTTCTGTTAAGCTGTAAGGGTGATTTCAGACATCAACCAGCAGAGTGAATCTGCTATTTCAAAGTGGCTTCTCATAGAAACAGTTGTTGTCATAAATAGTTATTTACTGGGAGATTGAATGATGTCCCGACCTGGTTCTTGTTTTTAATACCATTTGTCTTGGATGGAACGCCTGGCTTTGAACTTCTGCCTCGTCTCGGATTCCCCCTTGGACTCACTTCTGGACTGTTTGCCTCGGCCACACCTCCCCTGAACACCAGTGCACCATGGGCACGCCCCCTGTTTTCATTCCCGACTCCTTCATGCTTTTTTCCCCGTGTTTTCCTCACTCTTCCCCGGATTGTGTCGTTTGCATAGGGTCCTGAAAGAACGCTTTTGTTACAGCGACTGCTTTTTTCTGGACAGTATCAGTTGTCTGTTGCCTATAGCAACCACAGAAAGGATCATTAATCACCTACATAGATTAACAACACTTACCTGTATATACTGTACTCATGGACATGTATTCCTTTCATTCGCAGTGTATAAATTATATTTAGACACTTATTTGCAGTTGCTCCAAACTGTTTGTACTTATTCTTACAAATATTCCAAATTCACAATGTCAAATCTACATGTTGAGAACTAAATAAGTATGGGGGTGGCATGGTGTTTAGTATGTCTGCCCAGGGATTATTCCCCATGTTGTTTGTGTGGGTTTTCGGTTTGTCCTCTGGTATCTTCCCAACCCCTGAAAACATGCTGGATAGGTTAACTGGTGTCTCTTAATTGTCTCTCTGTGTTCCCTGTGATAGAAAGATTTTCTTTCCAGAGGTTAGGTGCATCTTGTGTCCTGTGCTTCCAGGACAGACTCTGAGCTCATTTTCTGATTGTGAATAACCACTTCATTCAATACAGGGTCCTGAGGGAACCAGAACCTATCCTGGCAAGCAGCAGGTGCAAGGGAGGATACACCCTGGACAAGATACCAATCCATCACAGGGCACACACAGACACAGCCGGAGGCACACACACTCACACCAAGGCCAATTTTCCCAGAAGCCAGTTAACCTACCAGTATGTTTTTATATTGTAGAAAAAACTGAAGCACCTAGAGGAAACCTACGCAAACACAGTAAGAATTGAACTCAGGCTTCCAACGTTGCAAGGCACTAATGCTAATCTCTGTTCCACCCTATTCATATTTATGTTTTATGTAAAACTAGACCACAATTTAATCAACCAGCTCTAACTTTCTAAGTCAGTCAGTTTATCAGACCCACAATTAGTGTTTAGTTTGGAAACAGAAGCCTCCCTGTCAGATTATATTCCAGATTCTGTTCCAGGGTTTGATGTTGATCATGAAGTAATGATGCCCAACTGATATTCATATATCAGTGCTGAAAAGGATAAATCTTTAATGATAATAAAAACAAATTATTTGTTCTTGGCAAATAATAATATTTCAGGACCTTATTGACATTCTCTGACATGTTTAATAAAACGGTTGCTAACACAGGAATGCATGATTAAATAAGTGTCACTAAACATACAGTACATAGCTCTTTTAAACAACAAGCTAAATGACTAATTTAGAAGATTAAAGTAATGCAATGCAGTGATTGGTAATGATTGCTCAATTGGTCTATCAAAAATGAGGGTAGTGGATATTAGCACCTTGGTGCTGACCAGGAGGACTGAAATTCTCGTAAAAACAGCATCCCTACAGAGTCCAGCACACCACAAGGCCCTAGTAATGAGAAAGATTGTACTCTGCCATCAGCCAACCCTCTCCTGGGTACATGTAATTGTTTGCCACCACCATGTTAAACTGTAAGTCATTTATGTGCCAAAAATGAGATAATTAAAAGTAAGAGAAATGCCTGGCAATAGAGCAGGTAATGAGACATTTAGTTGGCATGCTAGAAAGACACCACTGTTGACAGGTTATTTGACCAGTGACATCCTGAATGATTTACAGCAGTGAGTCAAAATGTTTCCTTCTTTTAAATAATACATTTATTTTCCTTTCAGGAAGGAATCCAACCTAAAGAACATTGCTCTGGACAAATCCTTTAACCCATGTCAAAAACTCCCCAAACACTACTTGTTGAATGGCTTCTAATTTGAACACTGTTTATTTTTGTCTGGGGAAAAACATAAAGGATGTTTGCCTTAAATTATTATTTGAATAACATTGAGTCCTGTGCAATTTTTTGTATTTTAATAGACATACAGTAGATGATAAGGACATTCCTACTGTATAAAAAGCTCATTCATTTTGTTTTGTTATTTAAATAAGTGTTAACCTTTGTTGACTTGTTTTTTTAAGCACTGTAAAATGTAAGGACTCATCTACTGAAGCTAATGTTTGGTGTGTTATTTCTCTTTTCTTTTTTACGCAACACAGTTGTTTCACAAATGTGAGCTGGTTTAACAGTTCCCGCTTTCTGGACAATCTGACTGCTGTTTGTAAAGACATAGACATTCAATTGAATATTTATAAGGCTATTTTCATATATTGCATTATTGTGTCTCAAATATGGTGTCATTTGGGTTGATTGTTTAAAATGAAGTGGAAAACCATGTAACTGACTTTCTTCATACTGCTAATGTGAAAGAAGCCCATTTTTATTTGTAAAACTGGTTTAATTTGGAAAGCGACCCTTCAGTCATAGATGACAGACTGGTTATTTGACTCATGTTATTTTGTAAAAAAAATATTCTATCTAGGAAACTGAAAACAGGTTCAACTACTCTTAATTTCTTGTTTCCTAGGAAACTATGGGGAGAGTGGAATGGAGGCCTTCAAGGACCTTGCTGCAATGGAAGGCCTCTGCATTGCCCACTCTGACAAGATTTACAGCAATGCTGGAGAGAAGCACTTCGACAGGCTTCTGCGCAAGCTTCGTGAGAGGCTACCCAAAGCCAGAGTGGTGGTCTGCTTCTGCGAGGGCATGACTGTGAGGGGGCTACTGATGGCCATGAGACGACTGGGTGTAGCTGGAGAGTTCCTGCTAATTGGGAGGTAAGGCATATTCATGAACTGCAACTTTTCATTTTTAGTCTGCTCTCTAGAGTGCTTTTTCAATTCCACACTCTATTTTTTTTAAATGAATTAGGGTACTCAGGGACGAATGACTTGCTATTCTGATTCCTACAGTATGTCAATTGTAAGCAATGTAAGTACCCCACACTCTAGCATTGTGTGCTTACAGTTGTTCTGGATACATGTATTTTAATGTATGTGTTACACATTTGTTTTAACAATCATTTAAAGAAATGTGGCTCTAATTATTTGTTGAACCTACAGAACATTGTATTTAAATAAGGTACAGAAATAGTAGATACTTATATGAATTATGAGAGTGTCTCAGAAATATAGGAAATGAAAGAGATAATGTGAAACATGGCTTGATTTCAGAAAAAAAAGGTAAATTAGTGGCATTGTATGATGGAAATTCACACAATATGCTGACTTCCTTCCCATGGCTTTTTGAATGTTTTTTTAAATGCCTTACTGTTCATTTATTCTATGAAATATTCAGTATGTCAGTACTGAAGGAGCTTTTTTATACGTGTTCACTGGATCTGAAGGATGCAGAAACATATATTTTTTTTTCCATTTGCATTGAATCTCTGCTGCAATATCATCATTGAGGCTAATGTTGAATTTGAAAGGGGAGATCAAGCAAAAGATTCTTGGGTTCTGTATGTTATAATGACTGTTTAAATTCTTGTCCTGCTAGGAAAAACACCATGAGGATTTTTACTATCCATTTTAAAAGACAACATTTTAATAGTATTTCATAGTGGTGGAATGGGTCTCCATACTGAGAATGTTCCTTGTTAATTGCTTGACATCAGTATATCATTATAAAATCCTACCAAGGCTAACATACTTAATGTATTATTCCATTTCAAAATGGAGTATCATCCCCAAAAGGTATTTATTAGCATATAACTGAAGTTAAAAAAGTAAATATTACAAATGAGAGAACAGTAGTCTATTGATTTGCACAAACACGTGGGCAAAAAACATGACAAACAGCAAGATGAGATCGGGTGAATTGACCATTTTAACTTTCTCAACCATGACTGAGGTGGCTAGGTTGCCAGGGCTAACAATTACAGCAGCCAATCCAAACAATTCCTTCTGTTAAGAAAACAGGAACAGTTGGAAAGCAATTCCTGGCCTCTCTGCAAGTTTGTGTTGTTCATACTGTCTACAGCATTTACAAACATTAAAAAATACAGCACTACCATAAGAACTCAAGGATTTTATTTTTTTAATTAATTTAGTTAAATCTAGAGCATACTCCATTTTCTTAGTAGCAAATAAGACATCAATATGCTTTTTGAAAAGCATTTCAAGCCTAAAGGGTAGAATACTGTGGCTTGTGAGCCCTGAGAAGCTGTTCTGGAAAAATGCTCCTCTGGGAGAGAAGGATGTTTTGTTAGATTCTGGTTGCAGCTGGTAACATGTGATTGAGGTAGTACATTGGTGACAAATGTTAGTATTATTTTTGCTTCCTGTGCCTCATCCTTTTTACATTTATATGTTAATTAAAATTCACATTAATCCTAATGCTGATTGATTGATTGAGAGCAAAAGTACATTGGCCAAATATAAGGACTGATGTTGGTCCAATGTTATGATGTTTACTGGAAATGTGCAGGTCGCCAATTCAAGCCGAAGCAGTTCCCAGTGACCGTACAAAGGTAACCAAGCTCCACTACGATAAACTTAAGATTTAATTTGGGCACTTTGTGTTGGTGGTTACACAGTCGTAGAACTAAAAATAACCAGAAGCAGAAATGCCTGTCCTCTGATAAACATTAAAGCTTCTCTGTCAGTACTCAGGAATCACAATTTCGGTACAATTGCCCAGCTTCTGTGGATATTTTAGGATTCTGATCTTTCTGATCTGTTGATCACTGACACACAGTTTTGCTCTGTATTGGGTGGTTAGTCATGAGAGTTTCTATTTTGAACTCAGAAACTACTGACTTTGAGATACTAGAGTAGTTATTGCACTTATGAAAATATACAAACTGAATATTTGTGATCTAATATTGATTAAAATTAAATAAGAACATGAGAAATATTTTATTCTCATAAAATCCTGTTACCTACTTTTTCCACAAAGTCTACATTATATTACTTTCAATTCCATATAATTTTTTGTGTCAAAAAGTTATCAGCTTGCACACTAATAAATGCATTTCTGTGTGTACCCAGTATTTCTCCAGATTTTGAAAGATTTAACGGTGGCAAAAAAGAATATCATTGTTATGTGGCCTAACTAGAAACAAAAGTTTAAAGGCTAAACACCGTAATTAAAGCAGGACCCTACGTGGGCCATGCCGATGTCCAGGTAGCAAACAAATCTGAAAAAGGCAATCCAGAAAGAGAGAAATCTGAAAGTCCAAGAATACGGTAAAAAAGCCAGAAGAACGGTACAGGTAAACGCACGAGAGAGCAACTGAGCAAGCAGCGATCTGTTGAGCTGGAGACTCCAATACCAATCAAGGTGTTGTGGGAACTGAGGGTTTAAATGGTGATGGGAACAGGTGAGTAGAATTAATGAGGTAATGAGGTGCAATTAGTGACAGGTAGTTGTAACAAAAATCATAATAGGTAAATACTTCATAATTATTTTGGTAGTAATAAAATGAGGTGAGGGTGGCTCAATGGTGCAGTGGTTAGCATTGCTGCTTCTTAGTGATATAGACCTGGGTTCAATTCCCGGGGTGCTCCCTGTGTGGTGATGGTATGGTCTCCCCATGTTGATGTGGGTTTCCTCCCACAAACCAAAGACATACAGTACTGGTAGATAATTGGCCTCTGGGAAAATTAGCCTTTTGTGTATCTGGACTGGCACCTGTTGCTTGCCAAGACTGGCTCCTCTACATCTTTGAATTGGATGAAGGGGGAAGAAAAAAAGATGGATAGAGGTGAGGTGTAATATGCAGAACAGTCAAAAAGTAAAAAATCACATTAATTTTGTATGACAAATCAGTAGGGTATCTAAACTGTTTAGTAATGTCAAGAAACTGTTTGGTAATTGCCAAAAAATGTACAAAATAGCCATCACTGTTTTCTAATATCCATTTCTACTTGCATAGAATAGTGTTACAGCTAGAGTGGTGTAGTGAAGATCTAGGTGAGAGTCATTTTCTGACCCGAAAACGTAAATACCGACTGAAGTGTCATGAAGACCTACTCATTAATTGATATGGAATAATCATTAGATAA